AGCCTAAATAATAGTGCCCGAAGCAGTCAAGCATATATTATCTTTTAAAACCACGAGTAAATCTCATAATGAGCCTGATCATGAGAAGATGAAACTGCGACCCTGGATCAGGAATACATGGGACAGAAGCAAAGCCATCTCAAGTCAGCCAGAAAACCTTACAGAAGAGGTAACTGTGACTTCTTGAAGATTGGACTGAGTGAGTCGTTTTCGCTTGGCTCATAACTGAACTGAATGTCAGTGGTGTTAGTAAACTGGATATTGATAATTCATGCTATTAATATGTGGTGACTCATAACGTTTTAATGCACAAAATAATTAAAGACCGATCAAAAAAGTACCGTCATGTTCCGGGAAAACTTTGGTCACAGTTACTTTTATTTCCTTGTTTTCTTCCGGAAATTATCCATTTACAAATTAAGCAGCGGTCACAGTTTAATATATGATCATCTATATCAGTTTAATATGATGATTTGATGATCAGTAAACATTTCATTATCAATTCTCCTGCTACATATGTACAGTTTAAGTCACAATTATTAGTTTATTTTTTTCTCCAATTTCTGTTTAACGGAGAGGAGCAGATTATCTTCAACACATTTCTCATCATAATAGTTTTAATAACTCATCTCTAATAACTGATTTATTTTAACTTTGTCATGATGACAGTAAATAATATTAGACTAGATATTCTTCAAGACACTTCTATACAGCTTAAAGTGACATGTAAAGGCTTCACTAGGTTTATTAGGTTAAAGTTAGGGTAATTAGGCAAGTTATTGTATAACGATGGTTTGTTCTGCAGATTATCGAAAAAATATATGTAGCCTAAAGGGGCTAATAATATTGACTTCAAAATTGCTTTTAAAAAATTAAAATCTGCTTTTATTCTAGCCGAAATAAAACAAATAAGACTTTCTCTAGAAGAAAAAATATTATCAGACATACTGTGAAAATTTCCTATATATATTATTCCTATAATTTCCTATTTATATATATTAAATTAGTTTATTATAATCCTAATAATAAAAATATACACAGTGATTAGCTCTCATATGAAAGCTTATTTATTTAAAAAATATTTCCCAAGTGCTAATTTTTTTTAACACATTTCTAAACATAACAGTATTAGGAATTGGTTTCTTATGACTAATTTCCTTTTTTTTTTTTTTTTGAACAGCAGATCATATTTTATTTGTTATTTTGCAAGATAGCATGCAAATCAAAGTGCAATTTAAAGGCTTAATTGAGTTTATTCTGCGAACCATTGGACAGCAGTGCTTTGTTTTGTAAACAATCACAAATGTATGTATTTCTTAATAAGGCTAATAACTGCTTTCATTCAAGCCCCTACCCCCCCCCTCACACCAAAAAAAAAAAATTCTCGAGAATACAAAAATATTATAATAAATACTGTGAAAATGTTCTTGCTCCATTAATAATCATGTGGGAAATATTTTTGAACAAATTTAAATGTCACACTATCTTCAGCTGTATATAGCAACATGCCATAACCACTCTCTGACCTGTCTAAAAAAGCGATGCCTTGTTGTCTAGTTTACTGACAGCATAAAAGTTTCTTGGTCTGCATTTACTCTGAATGTTGACCTTGATTTGAATGTGCAGTAGGCTCTGCCTGTTATATAAGCCGGTTGTGTTTTGCTTGTGCTGGCTTTCATTTGTATGATTGTGAGGATATTTGAATACCAGCACTGTCGACAGCTAGAAAGTTTGCCTTTAACTGCGTATTTGCATTTTAGTAATGACCGTTCAGTGTCAAAGATGATAAAGCTAATAAAACTAGACACACGCTGATGTTGCGTAAGTCAATACATGCTGATAATGAACATGCACATTATTGATATCAAGAAATACAGTGAGAATAGGGTATATGACGAGCTAGTGTTGTTCATATACTGATACACTTCCGGTGACCTGTTATTGAGTTTTTTCCATTTTATACGGTTCCTTTTACAGCATCTGTGTTGTAATGTCATTAAGTGAAGTTTATTCATAAACTAACTTAGAGAGGATCACGTGATTATGATTGATCACGGCTGGTTCTGCATTAGCATGTATGATCCACCAATCAGGCCATTCCTAACCCACTATAAAGAGCCAGGGTTTTCACTACAGTCATCTTTGCTTTGAAGAATCCCCCCTTCCACCCCTACCTCTTCACATTTCCCTTCATAGAGCGGCACGGTGGCCCAGTGGTTAGCACTGTTGCCTCACAGCAAGAACAATCACCGGTTCTAGTCCTCCAACAGGCCGGTGGTCGTTTCTGTGCATATAGTTTGCATGTTCTTCCCGTGCTCGCGTGGGTTTTCCCCATTTCCTCCGGTTTCCTCCCACATTCCAAAAACATGCACAACAAGTGAATCGATCAATCTAAATTTAACACTACAGTCAATCTCTCATCCTGCAGCACATCTCTTCACAGCATTCATTTAGGTCATCAGCTCTTATCAAGGAGGGAGTTGTCGAGATCTACCTGAGCTCAAGGCTCCCCTCTGGTCCTGCAAACTGGAGGGAGCCCAGGGCTCAAGAACTTTTGAGCTCGGGGCTCTCTCCAGTGACAGCATGCAAACTTGCTTATAATCAATCATCAGCTAAGTGTGAACTCTTGAAAATGCCATCAGTTAAACAGACTTTGGCATTCATTTAGTGGCTCAAGTGTAAAACGAGACAAAAAGCCGTTTACACACATGCCCACATCAAAATCAGCAGACTAGCGCACAATATACTGGAGGAAAATAAATGCTCATATTATAAAGACATGGCGGGGGGAAAGTAATTAAATGCAGTGCTTTTTGAACAATCTGAGACCCTCTTAATATTGGATATCACTCAGCCAGTGGTGATCGCTGATTTTTAAAGTGAACACACCTTAAGCGCACTGATTTTGCATTGGCAAGTGCTTAACCCAGGTTACTGGCAAATTAAAAGTGCTATTAGCAAGCCTCGGCATATACCCCATAGTCAAAGTTTCACATGTTAAAGGGATGTGTGTCAATTTACACACTCTTTACTCATTTCAAACATCTGAGTTTCTTCTGTTGAACACAAAGGAAGACATTTTAAAGCCATATATCCATTGACTTCCATAGTATTTGTTTTTTTGAACAGTCACACGTTTTCAACATTCTTCAAAACATCTTTGTTTGTGTTCAACAAGAAAGAAACTCATAAATGTTTGGAAACACTTCAGGGTGAGTAAATATGGAATCAGAAAAGACCCAAAAGTAATTCACGCAAAAGACACGATGTACACATGCGTAGCCAAATTCACGTGCATAAAACCAAACTCACGTGCGTAAAATATTTATTTATATTCACAAAAAAATTTCACGTGCACAAAATTAAAATACATTTTCATAAAATACGTTTCACAAATGCAAAACACCATATGCAAATGTATAAGAGTGTACAAAAAGTTTTGAATGTTTAAATACGTGCGAGTTCATCCTGAATGAGAATGTGCAAATCCTCCTTCACGTACGACTCCCCCTGGATACGTGTGTGTGTGTGTTTTTGAGACTTTCCTGCCTTTCCTGTACCTTTCAGCCAATCAGATGAGAGCTGTAGTCAAGGACACCCACTTTGCGCTCCTTAAGCGCAGACTGTTCCTCTCCAGCATGGGGAACGGAGCCGCCAGCAGTCACAGTTGCACTTTTTTTCATTTATTTATTTATTTGACCATATCTTCACTCTTTTTATCCATTATTTTGCCGCAGCTCTGCTCTTCTTATTTATTGTCTCGCAGCCCCATGAGTAAAATGTAGCCTGCAGGGTGATGATGAGGATTAAGTATCATTCCAGCCACACAAACATAACAGTGCTGTTGTGGTTCAGCGGTCAGCATATTGCGTTATGATGCCCTTCGGCCCGTGTTCGATCCTCACCTGAGTATATCCTTTTTCTTTTTTTCATTTTTATTGTTAAGACATATAAAACTGTAAGGTTGTTGAACCGAGTTCTAAAGCAGCTGTTTTCTTGAAAAAGACTTGATAGTGTCATTAGAAACTGAATGAAACTGAAATAAATAAAGATTTACTCAGGTGAGGATCTTTTTTTTTATTTCAGTTTCATTCAGTTTCTAATTACATTATCATGTGTTTACAGCTGTCATCTGATTAGCTGAAAGGTACGAGTAGCCCTGACTCTGGCAGGAAAGTCTTAAAAACACACACACACACGTATCCAGGGGGAGTCGTACGTGAAAGGATTTGCACATCCTCATTCAGGATGAACTCGCAAGTTTTAAACATTCAAAACTTTTTGTACACTCTTATACATTTGCAAATGGTGTTTTGCATTTGTGAAACGTATTTTTATTTTGTGCATGTGAATTTTTTTTGTGAATATAAATAAATATTTTACGCACGTAAATTTGGCTACGCATGTGTACATCCTGTCTTTTGCGTGATTTTCTTTTGAGACTTATCTGATTTCATAAGTAAATTCTGAGTTTTTATTTTTATTTTTGGGTGAACTAACCCTTTAATCTGACTTAATAAGTGCTGAAATACTGGTAGAAGATTCTGTGACTCTTCATTACGCTATCCTACTTAAAAATTTTGCTATAGTCAATTAAAATGGCAATGAAATCTGCAAAAAATTTTTTTATAATTTTAGGTGATGTTATTGACTTATAATGCATTCACATCAAAAGTCATATTCTTAAATGAAGTGAGGTCAGTGATGAAGTAGATCCAGGAGGTTATTATCTCAGACTAAAGCCTGACAGGTTTACACCAGCCTGATGTGAAGTGGAGCGCTGTTGAATAAGACTGAAGGCTTTGTAATCCTGGAGGTTGCACAAACAGTGGATAATCTCATCGGTGGACACGTTAAAGTGCCTTAAAGTAACTTAACACAGCTTAGGTTAATATTGTGTTAAAATTATAATAATACAGCACACAGTGATGAAACGTAATCAAACAGCAGCCGCCATGTGATATCAGTGAATCTCTGACGTCATCTTCCTGTTTCTTCAGAATGTGGAGTTGCCTGATTCCTTCACTCCCGAGCTCAAGTCTCTCCTGGAAGGACTCCTACAGCGAGATGTGGCCAAACGATTGGGCTGCCTGGGACGAGGGTAAGAGACAGACACCCCCGTCTTCATGATGACACCTCTGTCATATATGATAATCAAGTCACACTCTTTGCTCCACTGAATAGCTGAAGCTCAGTAATGTTTAACCTCTTATTTCAGTAATACAGTGAGAATTATATACAGTATGCAGTGTTATATTGGATTGCTATTCAGCTTATGTACCTGTTTGGTTCCTGAAATCAGTTTGTTTTAGTGTTATCTTTGCGATATTGCATTCGTGTTATCCTGTCTTTATTTTATAGTTAACAGTGCTTCTTCTATTGAACCGTACCAAAACTGTGACTCTAAAACCAAACCGTGAGAAGTCTGTAATGCTGCACCCCTATCCCACACCTTACATGATCGGCTTTTGGTTAATAGAGAGTTACACCACTGAAAGAACCACACACTTGAGGTTTATGAAAGACAGAAGAGCATGCTGGGAAGTGTTTGCAGCTTGTTCTGAATTGCTGACACCTGCTGGTCAGATGCGGTGTTGGTTATTATAATAGATATTCTCAGATGAAGCAGTAAATACTGAAGAGTGAACACTATTTAGGTTAGATTTGAAGCCATTATTGTCGTTTGCCACTATTGTATATTACAAATGAACTATACAATCACATCATAGGCCAACAACACTCCATTTGCCACAATTATACATTATGAACGGTTTTTATTATTTTATTGCAATGCAAGAGCAGGGAATTAAATGGCATTGGATCAAAACAAACAAACAAATAAACATATTAATGAATATTGCATTGTATAAATTCATGCAGAAATTATGTATAATAGTCCTGGATGAAATGTATTTTTTCCAAACATTATAATATATTATAATTAAAACAATAAGCGCCTATGAATGTAAGGAATTATTATTATAATTATTATTATTATAATATTGCATTATAACATGATGTTATAGATTTTGCATTATACACAGAAAAATATTTACATTTAATAAATCTGAATAGAAAAATGAATTAAAAAGGAATGAGATTGGAATTTATTATCGCCAAATATATGTTATTAACCTCAAGAAGAATTTTTTTTTATATATATACATTCAAAACCAAATTCTTTTAACTTGTCTAGTTTACATAATTAACCTAGCTCTTACACTTTAAGCTGAACACTAGCTTGCAAAATATCTAGTAAAATATTACGTGCTGTCGTCATTGCAAAGACTAAAAACATTTATATATATATACAGTTAAAGTCAGAATTATTCGCCCCCTGAATTATTTTTTCCCCAATTTCTGTTTAACGTAGAGCACATTTCTTCAGCACATTTCTAATTATAGTGGATTTAATAACTCATCTCTAATAACTGATTTATTTTCTCTTTGTCATGATGACAGTAAATAATATTAGACTAGATATTCTTCAAGACATTTCTATACAGCTCACAGTGACATTTAAAGGCTTAACGAGGTTAATTAGGGTAACTAGGCAGGTTAGGGTAATTAGGCAAGTTATTGTATAATGATGGTTTGTTTTGTAGACTATGAGGAAAAAATATAGCTTAAACGGGCTAATAATTTTGTCCTTAAAATGGCTTTTAAAAATTAATAACTGCTTTTATTTTAGTCGAAATAAAACAAATAAGACTTTCTCCAGAAGAAAAAATATTCAAATCAAATCACTTTTATTGTCACATCATCAGCAGCACGTGTGCTATGATGAGTGAAAAGCTTAGGTGCTGGCTACAGACAGTACAATACAACGACAGTGCAAAATACAGACAGTGCAAAATACAACAACAGTGCAAAATGTATGTATTATAAGACATACTGTGAAAATTTCCTTGCGCTGTTAAACATCATTTGGGAAATATTTAAAAAAGAAAATAAAAATCAAAGGGGGGCGAACAATTCTGACTTTAAATGTGTATATATATGTATATATATATATATATAATTTATTTATCTGTCACAAGGAAATATGATAAAAATGATAAATCACAGAAAATATATAAATATATGATATATAAATCACTTTACACAAAATATATTTACAGGGTTCATACGGTCATGGTAAACCTGGAAAAGTCATGGGGTTTTTGGCATTGCATTTTTTAGGCCTGGAAAAGTTTTGAAAAAACAGAAAACCCACAAAGTATTGGAAAACCCATGGAAGACAGGCATCTGTGTAGTTGGATATAGGTTATTTACTTCTTTTCTGTTCTTGGCCAATCACATACTCTCACATTATTAGTGCTCTGTAAGCATCATCTCAATCACTTCTACATGGATATAAATTGAAACTAAATCAGTTGTTGCGTGTTTTACGACATGATGTAAAAAATGTGAACATGCATTGTTTTTCTTTTACCACACATAAGTAGACATTGCATAGAACATTAGGTCATGAACATTTACTTGAAAGTCTTGGAAAAATCATGGAAAAGTCATGGAGTTTTAGTAGTAAAAATATGTATGAGTGAGAGTGAGAGATATACTGTTTAACTCATTTCAGTTTGATTACTTGGTCAGACTTTATTTTGATGGTCTCTACTGCACGTTTTGTTGACTAAAAGCTGCATTGCTACATGCCAATGACTTCTCATTTGAGTATGAGTAGACTGTCTGCTTCATATCTGCTGATACCGCTCCTTCAACAGACATTTAACTGACCATAAGAACCTTTGCAAGTACATGTCAACTTACACTAACCCTAACCTGACAGTCTACTTATAATCTAATGAGAATGAGTTGCCATATAGATGCAATGTAACCCAAATTCAACTAAATGCATTAAAGGGACCATCAAAATAAAGTGAGAGCGATTACTTTTGTTATTTAAAAACCTGAAGTGTATTACCAGCCTTCTCTAATATTTAAAATACAACTGTATTGCATTACAATGTGGCTAATATATGTTATTGATAAACACTAGATTGATTTCCTGCTTTTAAATAATCCACTAGGGCGTCAGAGGTGAAGGAGCACGTGTTCTTCAAGGGAATCGATTGGCAGCAGGTTTATCTCCAGAAGGTGAGACCTTTGCCCTTTTTCTTTTCTTTTATCGAGCCTAAAGGGGTAGTTCACCCAAAGTTCAAATGTACTCACTATTTACTCATCCTTAAAGTCTGAATATCGGTAACCATTGACTTCCATTGTAGGATAAACAAATACTACAGAAGTGAATGGCTACAGGTTTGTGGCATTTTTCAAAATGTCTTCTTTTGTGTGCAACAGAAGAATGAAATCTGTAAAGGTTTTAAACGTGAAGTGAGAGTGACAGATTTTTCATTTTTGGGTGAACTGTCTCTATATATAAATATAAGACGACGATAATAACACTAATGCTGATGTTGTTGAATAAAACACAAAAATCTGAATTTCTATAGGTTGTTTTCACGTGGTTCTGGTGATGTGTGAAATTCAGATGGAGGGCAGGAAGGAAAACTGAATGGGAAAGTCCATATTTTAGCGATTTAAACCATATTTCCAAGGAGATATAAATATAAAATATCCACATATGTTCAGGGCATGATCCTTATATCATGAGGAGGGCAGAGATTTCTACTGAACTACAATATATTTGATCAAGACACCCATTTATCTTTTACGAATCCCCACGACACCCTACATCACAGGTGTCAAACTCAGTTCCTGGAGGGCCGCAGCTCTGCACAGTTTAGTTCCAACCCTAATTAAACACACCTGATCAAACTAAGTGAGTCCTTCAGGCTTGTTTGAAACCTACAGGTAAGTGTGTTGGAGCAGGGTTGAAACTAAACTGTGCAGGTCTGCGACCCTCCAGGAATTGAGTTTGACACCCCTGTCCTACATCAAGAAAATTGTGCGGAAGTCATCACAAATTCATGTGATCTGTTCAGAGCTTTAGTCCTTTATTTATCAGGGCTCGCCACAGCTGAATGAACCGCCAGGTAAAGTCTAGAAGGGATACAGCTGTGGTAAAATAGCATCATTTTTGTGTCACCATACAAAATCATTCATTCATTTTCCTTCGGCTTAGTCCCTTATTTATCAGGGGTCACTACAGTGAAATGAACCGCCAACTATTCTAGCATATGTTTTACACAGCGTATGCTCTTCCAGACACTACCCAGTACTGGAAACACCCATACACAGACATTCACACACACACACACACACACACTACGGCCAATTGTTTGTTTATCTAATTCACCTGTTGCGCATGACCGCATAAATCTCCATTTCCCAAACTTGACCCTTATGACATGGCTTTGTGGTCGTCATCCAGCAATCGATTGGCAGGCCGGAGATGTTTTCTTGGTCTTTCTGCTTTGAAAGGAATGAGTTTAAACCGATGTGATTGTGTTAGAGTGCTGACAGTAGCTGTTAGCTCGCTAAAATCCTCTCCGGGAAGTTGTGACTGTAATTTCATTCCCTTTACAGCACCATCAGCACCGCCATCAAAGCACAGAGCGCAGCTTTCAAGCGCACATTTTCATAAGACGATTACTGTCAGACCTCAAGTCACTTCCTGTGAGCAGTTTAATTCTCATTAGCCTGCGCAATCTGTAGATCTCTGTATCATGAGGGGAGGTTTCTGAAATAAAAGCTTAGTAACTGAGCCCAGCACAACGGTTCCACAAGTAAAATCTACATTCATTTTCACTGATCATTTCAGACATTTATACTTGATTGGCTGATGGAGGTTCATTTTAAAGGTGCTGTATGTCAGTTTTTGATGCCTCTAGAGCATAAAAACACGTTAATATGTGTGCAGATAGTCGGAAACATGTTCAGTGAACATTCTTGTTTATCTGAAAAACAATGCTGAAGTCAGAAATTCTGCTTTGAACGTGTGTTACGTGCCAGAACGGCTGTCTTTGTTTTGGTCATTTAACCCGCCCAATGCCAAATTAGCCAATTATATTTCAGCACTCCGGGTTGCCTTGTTGGAAAACAGTCATTCCTTCAGTCAGGAAGGCTCTCAAAGTATGCATCTGTGACTGAAATGTGATCTCTGGTGGACAGTAGCAGACTCTGAAATGAGACGCAGATTCAGAGTTCCACATGAGGTGGTTATTATGTAGCAAATAATATAAAAATTATGAATGTAAACATTAGGTGAGCAGGTTACATTGTAACCCCGTGTCCTAACAACACGCTACCAGACAAGATTTGTCGTGATAAGTAGTTGGCCTGTTTGCAGCAGACGAAACACAACAAAATTGTAAATACAGCCATTCAGAAGCACAGAATAGTGCACTCACTGCACTCCAGCCAAATGGTAAGGCTTATAATCTAATTCAGGGGTTTTCAAAGTGTGAGGCGCGCCTCCCCTGGGGGGCGCCAGAGCATGTCAGGGGAGGCGCGGGAAAAAAATATTATATAATAAAAATATAATTATTAAGTTTAATTATTATATGTATTTTTTATTATATTTAAACGTTTTAATTAAACAAAGCTAAAAAAATTAATATGTCAAATATAAGAAAACCTTTTTTACCCAGAAGGCCATAGCTGTGAATTCGCTTCTGTTTGGCAAGCCCATTAATACAGGTATATGCTTGCTAATGCAATGGATCGGTTTCTGAGACCCCCCTATTCAAAGCCTTCAAGTTCAGAGCTTAAACCCAAAAGACGACGATATGATGATCAGTATTTGAGTTTAGGATTTACGTGGACAGGACAAGCTGATGAACCACGACCTTTGTGTGTGGTTTGTCAAGATATTTTGGCTAATGACAGCATGAGACCCGCTAAACTTCCACTGTTTTGACTGGGATGGACAGTTCTTGGATCTGTTCTATTCATATTGAACCATCTTCCTAGTTTTAAAAACGTTATATTAAAATACTTGTTATTACTCTGTAAATAATTGCACTTTCATGCAAATGATGATAAAAGTGAGTTAACAGTCTGACATCTGTCTGTGTCTTTATATATACTGTATGTATGTATATATATATATATATATATATATATATATATATATATATATATATATATATATGTGTGTGTGTGTGTGTCTGTGTGTGTGTGTGCATGCGTGCGTGTTTGGGAGGAGGGGGGCGCCAATGGATAAGTTGTGTCAAAAGGGAGGCCCACTGTCTTAGACTTTGAAAAACCCTGATCTAATCAATACATATTAAACCTCTTTAACATGATGAAATGTACTTGATGCTTTCAGTAGTATGGCAATAAATGTGATGAGAAATGGCATTCAAACTCGCATTATTAGCATTTAACACGCTCATGAGCTGTACCTAAGCTGTCAGTTTTCTGTTGTTCAGTTTTCTGTTTTCTGTTGTCTCGATCTTTGGAATCACTTCTGTTGGTCCTCAATCTGGCAACCTGCACTTGCGCGTTTTGATCCAGGAATGCAATACCGAGTTCAACCACTGGGTGTCAAACTTACACACTGCACATTTAAGCATAGATATATACACTAGATGTCGCCTGGCCTATTGTTGTCTATTGGACGGAATGCGTCAATAGCGCCGCCATCTTGCTACAGGGTAGCGCTCCTTTGAAATGAATGCGGGACCAAGGTACAGTGGAGGACTGTGGCCATGCAAAGCCAGAGATATACACATATACACATATAACTGATCGGGAGTTTTCTTGGATGTTAGTTTGTAATTTTTTTTCTAATTACGAAAATTATAATTTGACATCACTTTTCTACATTGATGGATCAGTGACCGCACGGGCATTCCTGACAAAAAGCTTGTGTTTGTGTGTACAGAAATGTACTATTCACCCTCCCTGTTAAACTTGATCTAATCATGTCCTGAAACACAGCTCCTCTCCTGCTTTCACTGCTCATACTGACGGAGGGAGCGATTCGTTTGTGAATGAATCCCCCGAACGACTCTTTCACTAACGTTAGCCGACAATAATACAAGTTTCTGGCAGCGCAGCATCTCGTTGTCATATTTCTCCTGCATTGTTTGCTGATTTTATTCAACAAAACTAGCATAAGCCGAGTGTTTAGTGTGAGTTGGAGCTGCTTTGCCGTATGGTGAATGCAGTAAGTGACTGTTATCATCAATAACGTGACCTGATTAGCACAACAGTTCAGAACATACAAAAACAGAAAAAACTGAATCTTACCTATGAAATGTTCTGCCTTTGTGCTTTATTTTCTTTGTTTGCTCGTTTCTACACCCGTAGACAGCGCTAAAGTCCTGCATCTTCACGTAATAACACTGTCTTGACTAGTGCGGTTGAATGACATTTGTCCTGGGAGCACTGTACCAATGTGGCGGCACTATTGACGCATGCTCAGGCTCCCTATGCGATATCTAGTGTATATATCTATGACATTTAGGGTGCGTCATTATTTTCAGATAAACACACAGCTAAAGTTGGTTTTAAACATTAAATACAATTTTATTAGTATTATAAATTGCTTAAATTGTCATGTATTTTAACATATCCTTTAATGAATTTATACATAATTATTCAAAGGGGACCTTCTTTAAAAAATCACATTAATAAGCGGTTTAAACACAGATGTTGTGTGAATATATACAGGTTCTAATGGTAAAATTTTTATATTTCTTTTAAATAAGATACATTCATCCTTTGTACATGTCATCAGAGGGGGAACCCCCCCCCCACCCCCATTAGCATATTACATTAGTCCTGTTTTTGAATCTGCCACTATGCCAACACACAGTTGTTTGTAGCTCCGCCCTCTTCTAAAAGGAGCACAATCTCATTTGAATTTAAATCGACAGTCAAGAAAACACCTAACTTTTAGACACCTAAAATGAGCAGTTTCAGAGAGTTAGAAAATATTAATTGTGTGTGATTTTTGAGCTGAAACTCAACACACATAAACACACACACACTGGACACATGAGAGACTAATTTTACATCTTGTAAACAGGGACAGAATAGGTCTTCTTCAAGGCTGAGTTATACTTCCGCATTGAGTGATTGCCAAAACCTGTGACGCATGCCTTGCGTGTAGCCATGCAGTTATACTTCTGCATTCTCTCCTTCTGTTTGTGTTGCTCTGCAATAACACTTCCGAAACAGTAGCTGGCTGGCAGTGGGTTTAATGTTCCTCTGTGTCGAGTTCATCTTTGCACCTCTAGCTCAAACTCACTCATTCAGACACGGGAGCCGGCGGACATGCAGCCACTTCCATTTTAAAGTGATCACAAAGCATAATGATCCGAATGGAGCTCTTCCACAGGACTCCACACTTGTTGTGCCAGCAGGCTCACTCATTTCCTGCAGCTCTCTGCCCCAGCCACACTTGTCAGCGCTACCAAGCCGACCAATCACAGAACTTGCGCTACATGTCATTGCAACATGTAGTAATTGTCTTTTTTCTAGAGGTGAAGGGTATGCGACTGCGAAGACTGCGCTGGACCACTCTTGTACACTAGATGCAGAAGTATAAATCAGCCTTTAATATGAATTACATTACGTCAGAAATATTTCCCTGAAGGTCTTGAAGTCATGCAGGGAAAATGTTTACAAACCCTGTGTGAGATTAAAAAAAGAAAGAAAAAATGATAGCAGCAGAATTGGTCTACAATGCATTAGCACATCCCTCTCATGCTCATTTTAAAGCCTGCTCATGTTTGCATTAATATTGCAATTCATTAACTATCTATCTATAATGGCTTTCAGTATCCTCCACCACTCATCCCCCCCAGAGGAGAGGTCAACGCTGCGGACGCCTTCGACATCGGCTCCTTCGACGAAGAGGACACCAAGGGAATCAAGGTAAACCCACGAACCATGAGAGCAAACCTTCCCTCTTCCCTCTGGGCTCTGCAGGCTCTGCTTCAGCTCACTGACTGACTCTTGTGTAGGTTTTAAAGTGGACTGGAGATGGAGCATGTCAGACCTAAGAGCACTTGAGCTTGTGTTTCATGCTTGGACATCTGCAGGAATTTTCCACTATGCTGTGAGCTTTAAATGACTCCCTGCAGCTGGATCTTAGCGTGTTTATACGCAATAACACTGAGCTGGATGATGCTGGGAGAATATGGAAAATTGATGCTGAGGATTTTAATAACTATATGTGACTGGACTATATAACCAGTCATAAGTAGCGCGTTTATACAATAACACTGAGCTGGGTGATACTGGGAATATTGTTGAGAATCGTGAACATGGTGTGTGTGTAATATAGGGATGGGAGACGACTCCAAAAGAGTTGATTCCTCGCCTCTCCCAGAGTCGTCTGTTTTTTCAAGTCCTCCTGCATGAAGCAGTTACGTGCTCCAGTTATAATGCTTATTCTTGAGTACGATGAACATCGAAGGCGCCCGCTGTGAATGCGCGATCACACTGTTTACGCTTTTGCTTTTGAATTCCGCCACCTAAAGCAGTCTAGGCTATTAAATAGTGCTGCGGGATGAAGTTTGCTTTCCTTTTCAAACTCCTATAAGCACATGCACCTTTGCATTTTGGTTTGGATCTGCCTGCAATGTCAAGCTTGCTGTGATATAAATGAAATATAGTTGTATATGTGTGCGAATGTGGTGCAGATCGGATATTGGCGGATAGATGTCTTAAATTAGCACTGCAGGTAAATTTATGATGTTATGTTAGGCTGTTGGCTGCTATATGCTCAATTAAAATATTTATTTAACTTATGCTTATTTCACGAATAAATAAATAAAACTCTAATCATAATGACAAAAGTAGATTATTGTCACAAAATCTGACAATACATGTGTTTTTGTTTTGGCCCCGAACACACTTAATTTTTTAATCACCACAATAATAGATTAGATTTTTACCAAATGAAATTCGTTTCCAAAAGAGGATTTGTAAATAAAAATATAGCCGAGGTTAAATGTTCAAAAACTTGGTCTGACTCACTCCCTATCTTCCGACGTAGACTATGCCGTCCCATAATGAACACACCCTTATTAAATTACAATAATAAACAAATTGCACAAAGCAAACAGTGATATTTAAAAGGAAAGTAATGAGCTATTGAAAAGTACACTTTAAAGAAAACACATTTACGAGAGAGAGAGAGAGAGAGAGAGAGAGAGAGAGAGCAATATGAGATGCTTTAGGCGCAGTCTGTCACGCTGATTTTATTTATCATTTTAGGTTTATGTATGAATTAAGTTAAATCTTTCGTGTTTGGGGTTTAATAATTAATTGGTCATTTAATTATTTATTAACATAAACATTTATTAACAAACATTTTTATATATATACACACACACACACACACACACATATATATATATATATATATATATATATATATATATATATATATACATACACACACACACACACACACACACACATATATATATATATATACACACACACACACACACACACACACACACACATATATATATATATATATATATATATATATATACATACACACACACACACACACACACACACACACATATATATATACACACACACACACACACACACACATATATATATATATATATATATATATATATATATATACATACACACACACACACACACACACATATATACACACACACATATATATATATATATATACATACACACACACACACACACATATATATATATATACATACACACACACACACACATATATATATATATATATATATATATATATATATATATATATACATACACACACACACACACACACATATATATATATATATACACACACACACACACACACACATATATATACACACACACACACACACACACACACACACATATATATATATATATATATATATATACATACACACACACACACACATATATACACACACACACATATATATATATATATATATATATATATATATATATATATATATATATATATATATTTTTTTTTTTTTTTTAATAGATCTTTTTATTTTTTTCTGATCTTTTTATTTACATTTTGGTCAATAAAACAATTTCAAAAGTATTTGAAAAACAGAGACAGTTCTCTTTGCTCCAACAGAGCCCCCCGCTCCACTGCACCATTTCTATACAATATGCTATGCCCAAATTTTATCTGTTTTACACCGTGTCTTGAAATATATACACATACAAGACAAGTAGATAAAAGTTCTATTATATGTTCACTCTTCTATTGTACATACATACGCACACAACAAGTCACAGCAGGCTTAGGAAAAGAAAAATAAAGAAATAAAATTATTACATTTGAACAACGGTTAAACTGAAAATATTAAGTTTGCATCCATTTGTTTTGTATATGTCAGCACTGGCTGCCAAATAAGATCAAATTTTTGACTGCAACCTTTGGTGGAGTACTGAATCTTCTCCATTGTAAGATGGTTATTTTAGTTGTTTTAGTATTATTGTCTAAACGTTTTAACTGGGATCTGTGATTGAACCAAATATTCCTATAATAGGGCAGGAGTCAATTGATGCATGTAAAACATTTGAAAAAAAATTCAATAATAATTGCCAGAATGTGGTAATTTTAGATCATGACCAAAACGTGTGTGATTAGCTATCTCTACTTCACATCTAATCAAACCTTTATATTAAGAAGATATTTAGACTATTCTATATACTTTTTTAATGTTGTTAGGGCTCAATTGGGATGTTTTTTTATTATTATTTGTTAATGAACTGCTCATCTTTCCATTAAACATTTCAATAATAAATTAATGTTTTAACTTTCTGTGTACAAGATTGCAATGTAATTTTCTAAGTTATCTAAACTAGACAATTAAAATATGCTGTAAAAAAGCATAGGTTGATAACTATTTTATTTTGGCTGGAAATGATTTACTGCTGGTTTTGTCTGACCAGAGAACTGCACAGTGTTGCAATTGACGCAATAGCAGTGTGCAAAGCGTGAAATTATACAGCATGTTTAATCCTTGCGCTATTTTAAGTGAATGCAAATGGAGTCGATTCCACCGACTCCAAAATTAGGAGTCGAGAATCGAAGTCGACTCCAAAAACCCTGAACCAAACACTCCTAGTGTGATGTGTGTTTAGCTAATCTCAGAGGCTCAGCGCGCAGACATGCATGCATTCTCTTTCATACTTTTACAAACATGAATATATTGAATACACATCAATAAAAGCACATCAGATGCTGCAAAAGTCCTGTAACAGCGCACGCTTTTACTCATTACTATATGAAACTGAGCTTTGAATAGCAACCAATGCGTACTGCTGGAAAGGGGTGGGATATGATGCAATAATCATTTAATCTCAGTTCATTTTTCATAATCACTCGAGGCCAAAATCAAAACCAAATTTTAATGCATTGCACAGTAAGGTCTTAAAATGTGTGTGGAAAGAGTCTTCTTAAAGCAGGGGGTGTCCACACTCTGTCCTGGAGGGCTGGAGTCCTGAAGAGTTTAGCTCCAACCTTAATCAAACACACATGAAGCAGCTAATCAAGCTCTTACTAGGTATACTAGAAACTTCCAGGCTGGTGTGTTGAAGCATGTTGGAGCAAAATTCAGCAGGACACCAGCCCTCCAGGACCGACTTTTGCACCCCTGCCTTAAAGTATTGAATTTGACTCTGATTCCTGTATATACCCTGACAATAAGTGTGTGATTTTGGACGCACCAAGAGTGTCTGAATTGAAAGTTATTGTGTTGTTTGTGTTATCTCTCAGCTTCTGGACAGCGATCAGGAGCTGTATAAGAACTTTCCGCTGGTGATCTCCGAGCGCTGGCAGCAGGAGGTGGCCGAGACCGTGTATGAAGCTGTGAACAGCGACACGGATAAAAACGAGGCTCGCAAGAGGGCCAAAAACAAGCAGCAAGGCCACGAAGAAGGTCAGACACCGCACTTCATCATTGGCTTTATTGTGATTTTATTTCCTCCCTATTAAAATCCCTATTACTGGAATCATTGTAGTTGATCAGAAATGCTAAATTCTGTATGTTTAAAGGAATAATTCACTCAAAATGTTCATCCTTTCCTCATTTACTCAGCCTTCACTTCTCTTAAACCTGTTTGAGTTTTTGTTTGTGAAGATATTTTGAAGAATGTTGTCTTTGATTTTCATAACATGTGTCTTTCCTACTATGCATGCCAGTTTCCAGCATTCTTCAAAGTATCTTCTTTTGTGTTCAGCAGAAATGAGGAAACTTGTCTGCTCCAACAGCCTAGTAGTACTGTGTGCCAGCATTTATACACCTGAGTTTGATTCCCAGCTCGGTCCCCTCTCTCTGCTCTCGATGCTATCCTGTCTGAAATCTCACTGTCCAATATTATAATAAAGATGAAAAAACCCTAAAAATAATTATATTCAAGGCATATAGAAATATAAAAACATATATAAAAAGAAATATAAATGTCAGGGCTTCCCACAGGTTTGAAATATACTTGGTGTGGTAGCCGGATTGAAACGCATCTTTTATCCACAGCACATAATCCACAGCACATAAAGGATCATTATTGTTTATAAATAATGTGATTTTTAACTATATTTTTATTTATAATGACACTGTTAAACACCTTTTCTTTACAATGGGTTAAAGTTATTTAAAAAGGCTGTTGAAATAAAAGAAATCCACTATTTTTTTTTTACTTTTAGGCTATTTAAGAGCCATGTGCACCCACTGACAGGTCAAATCTGCTTCTCTCTCTCTCTCTCTCTCTCTCTCTCTCTCTCTCTCTCTCTCTCTCTCTCTCTCTCTCTCTCTCTCTCTCTCTCTAAAGTTGCTTTATTGGCATGACATTTACAGTATTGCTAAAGCATTTTAGATATAATATGATATAATATAGATATAATACTTGCATAAAGTATGTAATATATTAACATAATTAAATTAATAAAATATACAGCAAATCAGAAATAAATATCCGAAAAATTGTATAGAAATAGACATTATTGCTCAAAATTATAATATTTGCTAGGAATAAAAAGTGTAGATTATTTAAATAAGGCAATTTAGTTGATTACCCGATTCTAATAGTAAACAAATATTTTGTAGCGAGCGTATTTTGTTCTCTCCGAGTATATAGTAGAGTTTATCTGAGTCCTTTATTCAGAGATTAATCATTTAATGTTTCTCTTGTGGCTGTGCGCATGCGGTCAGTAGTAATAGTAGTAGGTAATGGAAAAACACATACGAACAGGGTGTCCGTGAGGTCTTAAAGTATTAAAAGTTGATTAATCAATTATGAGAAAATGAAGTTGTGTTTTTATGAGGTCTTAAATTTTGTTCGAGCGTTGTCTAACGTGTTTGACTCCAAAAAAGCATAAATATATTTATTTTCCTCCTAATATTAACAATCGTGTGCTTGATCCATGCAATTGGTTTGGGCTGGGGTGCATCCAGCAAGGCTACCTCGTCTGGGAAATGTCACATAATTTGCGACAGACGCAGGAAGGTGATGTGACGCTCTCCACATGTAGAGAAACAAACAGCAAAATGAGAAAATGAAAGTTTGCTTACTCCTGGTTGGACAAAGACGAGTTTTAACAGTGTCTGAAGCCTGTCGCTGAAAACAACTGCATAATTTATTCTTTCAAGCTTTGTTTCTTCTGGGCTTGTCTGAGTTCTGTTGCACGGTTGTGCTCCATTCATTTATTTAACTACAACTGTTCATTAACTACTGCTTAAGTTAAAGATTTGATACTGATTAGAACTTGAAGTGGCGAAGAGGTCTTCTAATATTCTGAGAAGCTCTTTAAAAAGTCTTAAAAAGGTATTGAAATGACCTTTAGGATTCCTGCATATACCCTGATTAATAATAGCAACTTTAGAAAGCGAAAGTAAAACCTGAATCCTGGACATTTTAGGAGATTCAGAAACTACGGTCAGACACATTTAGGCTCAAAAGTCAAAAAATATTCAAATACAAATAAAATATAAAGGGATGAAAATAACAGTATTATTCATGTGTCTCCAGCAAATATACCTGCCTAAGTAAAGTTTATGTGTGGGAAGAACTAAATATATTTAAAGAAATATAAAATAAATATATACTTTTAGACAACTATCTCTTTACTTTATAAAAAGTTATGTTTTTACTCACCGGTGCTGCATTTAATTGCCTTTAAATATAGAAACATTGATATATTATTACATTTTGAAATAAATACTATGTATTATAATATATTTCTTTATTCCTGTTATTAAAAGCTGAATTTCAATATTATACACACATAATAAAGGTAATTCTTAGTATTTAACAGAAAGTTTTTTTTTCATGTGATAATGCATTTCTCATAACTGTTTTCATGTCTGTTTGTCATGATGACAGCACATAATATTTGACTAGTTATTCTTCAAGATACTAGTTTTCAGCTTAAAGTGCCAGTTAAAGACTACTGATTTTAAATACTGTGAAAATTGTTTTTGCTTTTTGAAACATCAAAAATATGTAAATAATAACTAAGATTTCAGCTTTCACAGGAGGGCTGATAATTAAGTTAATTAACTCCATATGTTATGTAAAGCAGAGCTTTTTGTGTGGGGAATGTGTCATCATTATTAATGTAGATACTGTCGATATTTCGAGGATTGTTTTTCTTCCAGAAGTCCAGATATTTGTGAGTAGCGAGGGTGTCGTGGCCGTGTACACAGAACAGCTGCTTGCAAAATGCTGTTTGTAAACATCCTGTTTGCTCTCATTCAGCGCACTCTCATTTTCAACCTCTGAGAACTGAGGGAGTCTGCTCCACAGCGGCTTGTATTTCGGACATCCAGATGGTCAAGGCACATATTTTAAATTTGTTTTAATGAGCGCTCTATCCAGGCGTCATGTTGTCTGCGGCACAAGGCTAACTACGCACTCTTAAAGGTGCAGAATGTAGGATTGACCTTGTGGTTGATGGAAGTGTTACAGTTGGAAAGGCGACCCTCCTCTGACTTTGACTTGTTGCACACTATTATTGACGACACAAACAGCAGCTAGCTCACTAGCTTACACTTTAAACTGCTCAGCTAATGTTTACATCTGTAATATTTGCATTATTTTCTAAAAAAATAAATAAAAAAACGTATGTGGATGTGGAACTCTGAATCTGTGTCTCATTTCGGAGGCGGCTTCTGTCCTCCAGAGAACCTATTTTTAGCTGTGCCTGTATACTTTGATAGAGCCTTCAAGACTGAAATGAAATACACTGTTTTTAAGGCAACCTGGGATGCTGCAATACAATTGGCTAAACTAGTAGTGGGCTGGTTATAGAAATCAAAACAAAGACACACAATCTGACACGAAATACACATCCTCAAAGCAGAACATCTGACTTTATTGTTTATTGAAAGTATTGTTTTTCAGATTAAACATATGTTTATTTAACATCTGCTAACATATTATGGTATTGTTAAGCTTTAGAAGAGTCTTGTGACCCAATGATAGTTTTTGGTTGGTCTCAAATGTACGCAGATGTACCTTTACCTGTTTACCCGTGTTGTTTTTGGAGGTAAAATGTTTGAATTATTTGTATTTGTAATGATCAGACTTAATGCAGAAACACTGTGATTGACATCCTCCCTGTACGTGTCATCAAAGGGGGAAAGCCCCGCCTACTAGTGCCCATCTCTCCCTCATTAGCATAAACAGCAGCCCTGAGTGAGAAGCAGCCGTCTGTCCATTAGCCATTAGAGTGTTTGAGCTGCTGAAGATAATGTCAGAGGATAATTATAGATGTGGAGCTTTAGATGAACAGCGACAGGAGCGACATAGACTGACAGAAGCATCAAGCACACACTGACCGCAACCTTTTTAACACAGATAACATCAGTGCTGCTTTTGAATCTGCCACTATGCTGATGCACAGACATCTGTAGCTCCGCCCTCTTCTGAAAAGACCACAGTCTCATTTGAATTTAAAGTGACAGTCACCAAAACACCACAATTAGGATCAAAGCCTGAAAGGGTCAGTTTCAGAGAGATGGAAAACATCATCTGTGTGATATTTTAAGCTCAAACTTCACACACACACACTAAACACATCAGATACTTATTTACATCTTGTTAAAAGGGGCATAATATGTCTCCTTTAAGCAGATTATTGTCCCTTTTTTCTGATGTGAACTCTAGTGTGTGTTAAAGCATGTGCTGTCTACTGAATTTCACACAGTGGTGCAGGAGTTAAAGGCCTGTTGTACAGCAGTGCTACATTCTCCAGCCTGAATTGAAGCTCACGACTGACGTCAGCTAATTGACTTTCACAGACGCAGCATCATTTCCGCCTGCGACCTCGAGCAGAGGCTTGAACCCTGTGCGTTTGTCACACAGCGCTGTTTCCCCCCCAGGGAAAGACACAGCACCATCACATGACCGGCTGTGTGATGGTCAGAAATAGATCTGAAAGAGGCCGTGTCATTTAGCTAACACCGAATTAATCGTGTGACCTGAAGACACAAGCGCAGGAATCCAGAGCTGGTTAAAGCTCAACGGGAGTTAGGAATAATAGTGACCTGCTTTGGATGTAAAACGAACGATTGTGGTCATACATTAATAACACATGCTAAAGAGAATGAGGCAAAACAGTGTGAACACAGGTGCGATCAGATTGATTTGTTTATTTTATTTATATTTATATTGATTTATTTATTGATTGATCTCTTTGTATAATCTGTTCGTTTCAGCATAGGATAATATATCATTTTGAATCGCAATAAAATTGATGTCAGTATCACTGCAACAATGGAAATCCACAAATGTGTTGATCTTCGAGATGTACCGAATTTTCGGCCACCGAAATTTTATCAGCCGAAGTATGTTTAGTGGACCCTCTTAGTTTTGTGGCTTCATTCATTGTTGGGATACTCTTTTAAATCTGGAAGCATTACCAACTTATATCGACATATATATATATATATATATATATATATATATATATATATATATATAGCATCACAGACACATTTTAACTCTTGGAGAAGATCCTCCCACATGATCTATTTGTAAAAGCAGTTTAACATTCAAGCATGTTTGTTGGCTTCGTTTTGCATCTCCAGAATGTGTGTGTAAAGTTTCAGCTCAAAACACCCATCAGATTTATCATGATACCTTTTACAAGATCTTTTTTTAACATTTTGCGTTATTTCAAGCAAATTCGTACTTCCGGTTTGAAACGAATTTTTGAAGCTGCGTCACGGTCATGACATAATAGCGTGTATTCCAGCGTGCAGACTGGACGTCTGTGCCAGAGTGTGTCTTATTACGTCTTACAGTGTGATGCATTAATGCATGAGTAAAGCTTGGTTCAAACCAATCAGCGCGCTCTATTGTGCAACTTCATTAATATTCATTACTGTCACAGTGTTTAGACGACAGAGACGCCACGTTGTGTTGGCAAAACAAGCGTGAAGTGTTGCTTTTAGTTTGCTGCCGTTAAGTTTCGTTTTCATTTTCTCTCTGTGAGAGCTCAGCTGGAGTCACGTGTGGATTAACAGTGTACGCGACGCTCGACAACAATAACTTACGTGTCTAAGGAGGATTATTGTTTACCTGAGAGCTGTTCTCATCTGCAAACACTGAGATCCGGATTCGCTTGTAGTCTCCTCTTAATAAAGACGCGGCTCTAGTTGCTGGTGATTGTCCTGTCTCTACAGATTTGGTAAGTGAGCGACCAGTGCTCTTTGTTTATTTAGTTTGTTCGTATCGAACTAAGTTAACTATTGCACCGAGTGTAAACATGTTAGCACCACAACCAAACTTTAACCTCGTGTAGGGTTTTCACCACATTTAGTGTCCGGAATAACACACGCGGCTTTCTGACACTACCTGCCGTGTGCATCTAAGTTTCAGGGAAATGCTGAGGGTTTTTTTTCTCTCATTCGCCGTGCGGTATCAAACATTGCATGAAAAATACACGCTTAGAGCAGTTCCTCGAATCAAATATCTCGTTTGTCGCGAGGGACATGAATGAATTCCCTGAATGAAAGAGCCAAACTGCAGTTAAAGTCCACCATTTAATCATTTGGCAAATAATTCAACTACAGATGTCCATGTAGGTTAAACACCATCACTTTCTACTGTGTGTGTGTGTGTGTGTGTGTGTGTGTGTGTGTGTGTGTGTGTGTGCGTGCGTGCGTGCGTGCGTGCGTGCGTGCGTGCGTGCGTGCGTGCGTGCGTGCGTGCGTGCGTGCGTGCGTGCGTGCGTGCGTGCGTGCGTGCGTGCGTGCGTGCGTGCGTGCGTGTGTGTGTGTGTTGACTCTGAAACTCAGCGCGTGCCCAAATCGACACTCCCACACCATCCCACTTTTCTTCCTCCGACACTCCCCCCTAAACAGAGCTGGACACGCCCACTTTTCTGACTTTTTTTCAAAGTAGAGGTGTGAAAACACCCTGCTGAAACGAGGGGCTTTCATGGCCCTTTAAGGATAGTCTGCCCCGCCCACCGTTTCTATGTGTCTTTCTGCACTCCTAAATCTCCTCCCTTGGCTGCGTCAGACAACAGACAGACAGACTTAGGAAGAAGATCTCACGTAGCTTTAGTGAGAAATACTACAGGAAGAACTTTACCAATGAGTATTTGTTGTGGAGATGCATCGATGAGTCAATGTACAAAGTTCACGCACACACAGATAAACCCACACACTCTGACAGACAGAGCGCGTTTAGCTTCACACTCTTTCTGCAGGCATATGTGACAGGATACAGGTTAATCTCCACTGCTGTGTGGATATCCGTCATGTTAATGTACAAAATAAACCTGATTTAACGTCCACTAACCGCGGCTGTGCTGATGAAGTAAAGCTGAAGTGAATCGCTGTACTTTATTACACACTTACTCTGTTTTAAAACATGTTAAACTTGTGAAACTCACTCTTGACCATCATTTGATGGCCAAGATAGATTTCTTTAGTTATATCGTTTTATTTGTTTCATATGCGGAGACACGCACGTAAAAGTCACGTCTCGTCTTCAGTTATGGGCTCAGGAGCGCTTTGCACTCACACTACACGCAAGTGAACCGGGCTCTGGCACACCACTTCCAACGGGGCCAGGGCCGGCCAAGTTAACCGTGCCTGAGCCCGATTCAGCACACTCACACTTCTCAAACGATCCGGGAAACGGGCCAGGGCATGGTTATAGCATAGTGTGAGTACACCCTTAGAGAATGTTATCTGTGTGCTATTTTGAGCTGAATCTTCACACACACACACACCCTAGGCACATATTTTACAACATTAACAGGGGTATAATAGGTCAACTTTAAGTTTGTTTATTCCTTTGAAGTAAAACAGTGTAAATTAAGAGTTTTAGCAATAATCTAAAGCCAAACCTCAATATAATCTATATCTCCATGAAAATAGCCATAGAAGCAAGTGGAGATGGCATTATAAAAAATGTAGTTGTTGCTTGCTTTTACAAATGTAGTTGTTGCTTTCTTAGTTCCCAGTGTTTTTTTCTGGATTATCAAGGCACTTTAACCCCTTCCCCCACCCCCCTGCCCTATATAATGTTTATAAAATATTTTTAAAAGAAGATGTTCATGTCTTGTTTACGTCGGTTCATTTGTTATTCAACCCAACAGAAGACAAGTGTCGATTTCAGCTCACATTTCATTTAATCATCAATAGCTCTGTTTTCATCCGTTTACTCGTGTGTGTGTGTGTGTGTGTGTGTGTGTGTGCGTGTGCGTGTGTGTGCGTGTGTGTGTGTGTGTGTGTGTGTGCGTGTGTGTGTGTGTGTGCGATTTTGTGTTAAATTGGTGGATTCAAACACCAAAATGTGTAAATACAGCAGTTTTTAAATGTGGACTAACATGGCTTTTTGTTTGATAAGAAAACATGTAAATTAGGTACGACTGAAACTAAAAAAGGTTGACTTTTTAAACTGGATGTAATACAGCTGTATGATGTTATCTTGATGTTATGAACAGCAAATTTGCTATGGAGGAAAATTAAGCTACAGCAGTTTCCACTTATTTTTTATCTGCAAATATTGTTTTTATTCTTAATGGATGCTTTTTTTTTTTCAAACCAAGGCTAATCTCACAAGGAAACTTTTTAATGTCAGATTAGTGGCTTATTCGTACACTTTCCTATGACTGAACTTGTACTAATTAGCATTTGTAAAATGGAGGAGTGGCACCCAACCACACCCCTAAACCCATCCATGATTTGGGGATAAGCAGATCCTACTAAATTGTACGAATGAGATTGTACGAAGTCCTACGAAGTAGCCGATTAATCAAAAAGTAAAGAATTACTGTGAAAACGTGTTTTTAAAACCTTATTTTGAACTATTGAACTATTTATTTAAATGTAATTGTAGGTGCGTATGATTAGATCATTGGTTCCGACGCATTTGTATCTTGAACAGTTCGATAATAAAATGAAATGTCCGTGTCTTTGAGAATAAAGTTAGATGTCCCAATCTATTTATTGTCCATTTAGTCAAAAGTAAACATCCAAATAAACATGAACTCATTCTCAAGTCCATCATAGTCAAAAGGTTTGTTTGACCTTCTTTTACGCCCCGCAGGTCATCAATAGGAGAGCATAAATACATTAAAATACATTATACACCCTCTAGTGGTGTGAAAGAAAATTACACAAAAAATGGCTCCTACAGTAATAATTAAAAATAGATGTAAATTAATTCAGCTTTTTTTTTCAATTTGGATATAATACTCAGCATTCAACTGTCAAGCATATGATCATTCTCCTTGTGTGTGACTTTTGTGCAGATTACGCGCTGGGGAAGGACTGCATCATGCACGGCTACATGCTAAAGCTAGGAAACCCCTTCCTGACGCAGTGGCAGCGGCGCTATTTCTATCTGTTCCCCAACCGTGTGGAGTGGAGAGGTGAAGGAGAGTCTCGGGTAAGAGCTGTGTGTGTGTGTGTGTGTGTGTGTGTGTGTGTGTACGTGTTTTTTGTGACATATCAGGACACAAATCTGTATAATGGCATGGGTATGACACAGGTATTACAAAAAGGAGGTGAAATATGAGGACATCGGTGACGTCCTCATTTCTCAAAATGCTTATAAATCCTACAGGATGAGTTTAATCAGAGAGTAAAGCTGCACACAGTCTCCTGTGATGGTTGGGTTTAGGGGTGGGGTGAGGGTGAGGGCAATACAATATACGGTTTGGACAGTATAAAATGAATGGAAACCTATGTAATGTCCCCACTTTTCACAAAAACAAATGTGTCTGTGTGGTGTGTGTGTGTTGTCACTGCTGTTTATATCAATATAATTGGTTAACCGACAGATTTCTGAGATTGAATGTTGCCTGTTTGTCCATACGCTGTAGGAATGTTGGACTAAAACGTTAAAAAAACATAAATTCAAGGTGAGTCTGGTGCGTTTGAGCTGATTCCTCCTCCTCTTCCTCGGTTTTTATAATCTATTAATAGTTTTCACATGACGGCACACACTGGAGGGCAAAACAAGATTATCATCATTATATAATTATTGAAAACTAATGATATTTAATTATATCTGTTAATCTTTAATTAAGCTAACCCTACTGTGTGACCATTGCTGGTGCACACATTGCAATATCAATGCTCCAATGTTATATTGTGCAGCCCTGCTGTGAATAAAAGTCCTTTTTCTCGGGTAAACATTCATTCATTTATTCATGTTCCTTCAGCTTGGTATCAAGGGTTGCCACAGTGGAATGAACCACCAACTATTCCAGCATATGCATTACACAGCAGATGCCCTTCCAAATGCAACCCACTCTTGCACACACACTCATACCGGTTAAACATGACGTGTGAAATATTTGTAAAAGGATCCAAATTTGGCAGGAGCGCTAATACTTGTGTCTCCAGCAGTCTTTGCCCTCCAGTCGAGTGATTTCTGTTTCTCGAAGAAGACGAGGAGGAACAGCACTGCTCTAGAGATTAGCGTGTGGTTTTCCTCCATCCCGCTGCGGTTTATTCCTGTAGTACCTGCAGCCGTGATCCACATCCTCTGCTTTACTCCTGCGCTCCAGCACAGCTCAGTGTTTCCCAGCGGACGGAGAGAGGCTTTGCGTCTGCGCTCAGATCAGAAGTAGGTCAGTGCAGGTTCCCCGGGGACACACGCTTTCTGTCCTCATCTGTAACTAAGATTATTCTGGAGAAGTGCAGATTTCCACTGCATTTCTGTTAAACTCCGAGATCTCCAATCTGAAGAGTGGATCACATCATGTTGAACAAGAGCTTTAGAAAGGCTGATGCTTGACTATCGTGCATCTGTTGAGGCTTGTTTATTTATATCCTGTGTACTGCACTTTTTAACAGTTCATATCAAGCTTTGAACAAAATAAAGAGTTTGTTTAATTAGCATTTACAGGATAGTTAAATATAGCCATTAGAATTAAAGCCAAATAAAGCCTCATTCACACTGCAGGCGACTCACAGTGGCAAAGCGCCAATCAACCATTCATTTCAATGGAGAGTGAGTGACTTCTGGCGACCTCCATCTGCGCAAGCAACCGTTGGCGATCAGGTGGGCGTGTCCAAGTTAAGAATCCTTCAACTTTATGCAAATGAAGAGCGACTTTCTTGAGCGACAGCCAATAGGAGCACCAGCAGAGCTCACATGATCCTCTCTCAGCTCACTCAGAGACCAGTTGTATTCTCTGTGCTGTAGACCTACACGGGTCTGATCACCACCTAGAGCGACAGTCAGCTGCAAAGTCGCTGCTAGTGTGAATGAGGCACAACGGTTCGTTCATTTATTAGTTTAAATCCTCTATGTTGCGCTTTTAAGCTGTTCATTTCAAGCTTTGAACAAAGCAAGGATTTTGTTTAATTATTATTCATAGGATAGTCAATATAGCATTACAAAATAATAGTTTTATTTATTTATTTATATGCTGTATATTGAGCTTTTTAACAGTTCATTTCAAGCTTTGAACAAAATAAAAAATTAGTTAAACTCATATTCATCGGCTAGTCAAATGTAGCATGACAAAATAGCTTTATTTATTTATTTATTTATTTATTTATTATTATTTATTTATGTCCTTTATATTGTGCTTTTCAACTGTTCATTTCAAGCTTTGAGCAAAATAAGCTGTTTGTTTAATAATCACACATTAGTCAAATATAGCATTTCAAAATAATAGTATGCATTTGTTTTTTTATTATTCATTATCCTGTATATTGAGCTTTTTAACTGTTCGTTTTAAGCTTTGAACAAAACAAGAATTTTGTTTTAACTAATATTTACAGGATAGTCAATATAGTATTACAAAATAATAGTTTTATTTATTTATTTATATCCTGTATATTGAGCTTTATAACAGTTCATTTCAAGCTTTGAGCAAAATATAAAAAATTAGTTTAACTCATATTCATCGGCTAGTCAAATGTAGCATTACAAAATTTATATATATATTTATAAATTAATTTATATCCTTTATGTTGTGCTTTTCAACTGTTCATTTCAAGCTTTGAGCAAAATAAGCAGTTTGTTTAATATTGACACGTTAGTCAAATATAGCATTTCAAAATAATAGTATGCATTTGATTTTTTTATTGTTTATTATTTGTGCTTTTTAACTGTTCATTTTAAGCTTTGAACAAAACAAGAATTTTGTTTTACCTAATATTTATAGGATAGTCAAATATAGTATTACAAGATAATTATTTATTTATTATACTGTATATTGCGCTTTTTAACTCTTTAACTGACAATAGATAAATATAAAGATATAATACAAAATAGATAAAATAGAGCAAAACATTTATTTAATTAGTATTCACTGCATAATCACAAAAAACAATTACAAAATATTACATTTTTTTTGTTTTATTTATTTATTTGTTTTGGCTTTGTGAAATAATTATATTTGGTCTTTTATTGATTGATTGATTGATTGATTGATTTACTTGCAGTATTATGTACATCATATCTGTTCCTAATCAAAGAAATGAAATTGTTTTTTTTACATTTCATTAACTGATTAGGAACAGACACGATAGATTAATACAAATTTTTGACTGCAAAAACATGGGCTCATAAAGATCTAAACTTCAGCTAATTGTTTTCATTTTAATTGTTTTCTAAAAAAATAATGTCCATTACATACACTAATGCATTTCAAATGCAAATATTTTTTGTTTACTATCTATTTGAATTAATGTACTATTATTGATATTCCCAATGTCTTTTACAGCGAACAAAATACTGTCAGACAAAACACAGGAGTTCTTGAGTGTGGTGTAAAATCAAGCAGTCTGAGTGCAGTAAGTGTTTAAAGGGCAGATGATTGTACAGAAGTGATTTCAGGAATCAGGTATCAGTGACACGAGATCTGCGGCTGCTGTTCCTCATTGAGTAGAAGCTTGTGATCTGTGTTTTTGCTCCCCGTATTCCCACAAAACCACTAGCAGTGTAAGTGACACAAGCTGTGTTTCCATCCATCTATTTTCATGCACATTTTGATGCTGAATAGGAAAAACTTTTTTACCTGATGCTCATAAACAGACGTAAACAGATGTATTGAGTAAAGCCTGTTCTTCATCAGTATCTGCGCTTCAGTCGACTGTTTTTGACAGATGCTGATCAGATATAAATGTGTGTGTGTGTGAGGTTGTTTGCGTCAGTAATGTTGGTCTGCAGATCTCCATGTCTCCAGCTCTCCATTGTTGCAGATGTGAAGTGTTGTTGTGCTGATTGTAAAAGGCCTCAGCTCTCCGTCAGTCCATCATCACAGTGCTTCAGTAATATTATTCTATTATTATTCCCTCTTGAACTGTCTTGTGCATCCGTCTGTGCTCCTGTCTCACGCCTCCAAAAGCCACTGCGTTCATTGCGTTTCGTTTTCTGAGGCCCAACTCATTTATTAGTGGAGAATCCCAACAGTGCTGCAAACTCCACTTCTCTCAGTGATATCTGGGCATGTTTAGCAGGAAGTTAGCATTTTCTGCTTGTTTCTAATTGTACTGAAAGCCAATTTATTGACGTGTTTTATGCAGTATGCAGATACCTCACATTTATGCATTATAAATTCACATCTAAGGATGGAAGTATAGCATATAATATAACAAAATAAGAACAACAGGACATTTTCCCCTTTAAATGACTGAATTCTGCTTATTTTATAGGGGGGTGAAAACTTACGCACGCTTCTTTTTCATTATCTAATTTGGAAACACGTCTAATTAGACTTAAAGTGAGCATCTTACACATGCACCCCGACTCTCATCAACGAACGCACCAATTTCTGATCCAATCAGAGCATCTGATAACAAGAAAAGAGCTGAGAGAAGCCAGTGATGACTTTTATCTTGTGAGAAATGGCCTGCATTGAAGATAATAATTTCTTTACAGCATTAACTGCACTTATATATGCATAAACTTTTTATTATTCTATAAGAAGCATTCATTGCGTTTTGTCTTCATCTTCTGAGGTGCAACTTATTTATTAGAGAAGGAAAAAGACTGCAGTGGCAAATCCCATCACATCAAACTGCACTTCTCCAGCTGATATTTGCTCCAGTTTATCAGGAAGTGATGATTTTGATACTCATTCACTGTATTTTTTGCTTTATTTACTGTTTTATGAAATATTGCAAGTCTCATTTACGTCTTTGGATGGAAACACAGCTACAGACAAAAGCGTAAAACCTCTAGCATAGGCTAAATCCCACTTACCGTAGCGCAGTCTCTCAGAAGACTCATAAAGGGATCTGCTGATTATCCTTTTGTCCCTCCAGCAAAACCTGCTGACCATGGAGCATATCGTGACGGTGGAGGAGACGCAGATCAAGGACAAGAAGTGCATCCTGCTGAGGGTTAAAGGAGGGAAGCAGTTCGTCCTGCAGTGTGAGGTGGGAAACCTTCAGACGCATCGCTCTAATGCTTTAAGAAACCTTATCATGTCCTTCTGTTCTCAGTGTAGACTGTAGAATTCTCCACTTGTCTGTTGGCTTGTTAGTCGTGACATATGGATTAATACTAGAGATGTCATGATCAGGTTTTTGTTTTGCTTTCGAGTCGGAGTCATTTGATTTTGAGTACCTACCAAAACCCGATCCTGACCTGACCCTGGTCCTGACTGATAACCGACATTAAGACCTGGATGACCAAAAACTCTCTGCAACTAAATGAAAATAATACAGAAGTGTTATTATTAGGTCCCGCTGCTGCCAACTATTGAATTAAAACTCAGCTTGTCTTCCTACATAACAATCTGCACAATCACGCCAAGAATCTCGGAGGTATCTTTGATCCACTCTTGCAGTTTGATAAACTGCAATAATTTTAATTGATGATACACTTTCTTTTAGTACTCACATTCAGCAATTGGTGAAAAAATTAAAAGTTATTTTAGGCTTCTATTTTAGAATTAAGAACCGCCTTTCTTTTGGTGTTAAAAAGAAGATGTTTGAGGCAACATTCATGTCGACATTGGACTACGGTGATGTAATCTATATGCATGCTTCGTCTCAATGTCTGAATGCATTGGATACTGTTTACCATGGTGCACTAAGATTTATAACTAATTTTAAATCCCTTACTCATCATTGTGTGCTGTATACTAGGGTAGGTTGGTCTGCTTTGTCCATTCGTAGGCTAAAGCATTTTCATATTGTTGTTTACAAATCTATACTGGGTTTCCTCCCATCATATCTCCAGAATTCTATTTGTAAAAAGCCTGTTCTTAACTATGGTCTTCGCTCACAGGATATTCATTTACTCTCTGTCCCTAAAGTGCGGACTGAGATGGGGAAAAAAGGCTTTTAAGTACGCAGCAGCTTCTGCTTGGAATAATCTGCAAACACAGTTGCAGTTTAAAGACTTGATTTCACTACATGCTTTTAAAAAGACTATAACAGTTTTAGAAGTTGGAACAGGTTTGTAGATGTTTTGAATAGTTGTCAGTGTGATTCATATTAACTGTAAATAGTTTTTTATTTGTTGTCTGTTGGACTTATGTGACTTGTGCACTGCCTAATCTTGGCCAGGACGCTCTTGTAAAAGAGATTTTTAATCTCAATGTGTCTTTCCTGGTAAAATAAAGGTTATAATAATAATAATAAACATGTAAATGCAGTTGTGAAGAGCAGCTTAGATTGGTGGCAAAAGTTAAGCCGTTTCTGGTAACACTTTACAATAAGGTTCATTAGTTAAAGCATTTACTAACATGAACTAATCATGAACAACACATGTACAGCATTTATTAATCATAACTGAACATTTACTAATGCATTATTAACATCCAAACTCATGCTTGTTAACATTAGTTAATGGACCATGAGTTAACATGAACTCACAATGAACAACTGTATTTTCATGAACTAACGTTAACTAACATAAACAAATACTGTAGTAAATGTATTGTTCATTGTTTGTTCATGTTAGTAAATGCATTAATTAACATTAACTAATGAACCTTATTGTAAAGTGTGACCCTGTTCATAACACATGCTTTAATGTCCTCTGGGTTAGACTACTGCAACTCCTTGTACATTGGTCTACCTCAGTCAACACTCTCTCGGTTACATTTGGTCCAAAATGCAGAAGACAGATTAATAACAGCAACTAAGAAAAGAGATCATACAGTTGAATTCAGAATTATTAGCCCCCCTGAATTATTAGCCCCCTTGTTTATTTTTTCCTCAATTTCTGTTAAGTGAAAATATTTTTCTACACAATTCTAAGCATAACAGTGTTAATAACTCATCTCTAATAACTGATTTATTTTATCTTTGTCATGATGACAGTAAATCATATTAGACTAGATATTCTTCACGACACTTCTATACAGCTTCAAGTGACATTTAAAGGCTTCACTAGGTTAATTAGGGTAACTAGGCAGGTTAGGGTAATTAGGTAAGTTAGTCTACAGAACAAACCATTTTCATACAATATCAGAAAAAAATAGCTTAAGGGGGCTAATAATTTTGATCTTAAAATGGTGTTTAAAAAATGTAAAACTGCTTTTATTCTAGCCGAAATAAAACAAATAAGACTTCCTACAGAAGAAAAAATATAATCAGACATACTGTGAAAACTTCTTGACTCATCATTTGGAAAATATTTTTTTAAAGAGAAAAAAAAATTAACAGGGGGGTGAATAATTCTGACGTCAGCTGTATCTCCCCTGTCCTCGCCTCATTGCAGTGGCTTCCTATAAAATTCAGAGTTGATTTTAAAATCCTTCTTTTCACATTAAGCATTGCACAATTCTGCCCCGGCCTATGTCAGTGAGCTTATTAGGCCTTATACAGCTTGTAGAGCGCTAAGATCCCATGACCAGTTTCTTTTGTCTGTCCCTCGGTCTCGCTGCAAATCAAAAGGTGATCGAGCTCTCTGTGTTGCGGCCCCGAGGCTCTGGAACAATCTCCCTCTGAACATCAGGGTTTCCCTTTATTGGATGCTTTTAAATCTAATTTTTAGATCTTATCTGTATTTTAGTATTACTTATATTTCCTTTTCTTATATTTTTAATCGCAGTGTTTTAGGGTGCGTTCACACCTGCCTTATTTAGTTGGATTGAATCGCACTAGAGTTCGTTTTCTGTTTTGGTGCGTTGTCGTTTGGGCAGGTGAGAATATAGCAATCGTACTCGAGTATGCACTAAAAAAGCATTCCGAGACCTGCTTGAAGAAGTGGTCTTGGTACGCTTTCAAACGAACTCTGGATCATTCGTTTGTGGTGAGAATATGATTCGTACTAAAACAGGTCCAACCGCAAAAAGTACTGCGCCTTTTGGACTAATTCAGCTGCCGTAGGCCGATGCGCTGTGCATTATGGGATATGAAGGAAAAATATTTGTTGACAGCGCTTTACAGAGAGAGGGGAAAACATTAGCTGATGAATCGTTGGTAATATTTCCGCAAGATGAGCATGTCGCAGTTTAGCTATTAATTCACGCCTCCTCTTGAAGTGACGAGCGATGCATTAAACACGTTTTCCAGCCGCGGCCGCACTTCATTCCCGAAATGTAGAGTTTGTCTAAAGCAGGGATATAATCAGTCAGCGCAGTCGTCCATCCAGAGTAAAAACCACATTTTGTGTCTGCCGGTTTGTTTACTTACGGGAGTTCATTGGCATTTTCCCGCATGTGAATTCTAACCAACCAATAAGCAGTTTAGGAAATGTGTTCAACAACATCTGGCCAATGAGAGATGTGGGTTTTGTCAGATGACTGCATTTTGGTTCGTTTCAACTGGTTCAGACCAAAGCCAGCAGTGTGGTGTGAAAACGACCCAACGACGGCAGAAGATGCAACAATGCATCATTGGTACAGACCAAATGAAGCGAACTACAGATGTGAAAGCACCCTTATTTTATTTATTTTATTTTATTGTAAAGCACTTTGGATCAACTACGGTTGTGTGAAATTGAGCTCTATTAATAAAGTTTGCCTTGCTGATCCGATACTTCTATAATACATAAAATAAAATAAAGAAGAGTAGAAAGTAGAGACTAGAAAGTAATGCAGTTCAATCTTGAGTTGCTCCTTAAAATATAACTAACTGTGTCACCCCCAAAACTGATCATGAGTGCTGAAAATGAATCTAATAAATCAGCTCAGAGTGCACAGCTAATGCTCTTCCTCTTCTCCAGAGCGACCCAGAGTTCGTCCAGTGGAAGAAGGAGCTGACCGAAGCGTTCACCGAGGCCCAGAAGCTGCTGCGTCGAGCTCCTAAAGTCATCGGCAAGGGCAGAACTAACGTGGTGGAGCTCTCCAAACCTCCGCTCACACACCGCAACAGCAACGGCCTGTGATCCGCTTCTCCTGCACCTGATCCACTCTTCATCCTCACACACACACACACACACTTACACACACGCACACACACACACTTGCTTGTCCAATCCGGAAGCTTCTGCTGGATTGTGCCCTGCTGTTCCTCAATAGTTTGTGAATTAAATGCGCACACGCACTCGCAGACACGGATAATGATCATCAGCGGTGCAGGCTGGGAAACTGCACTCGTTTCTCCTCCAATCTTCTCCTGGCATGCTCAGACATGAAAAAAAGTGGCTAACTTTAATCCTCCATAAGCGGCAGATCGACTGTATGAACACCTCTGCTGCGGGAAACAGAAGCCGAGAGAGCTCTGATCCAGTGGATGGAGATGACTGATATTTCTCCTGTCGTTCTTCAAGGAAACGCTGTTGACTGCCATTCCTGAAGCGCACACACTGCACCACTGTCTGTCAACGATGTGGCGTACGGCATGCGTGTTTCATGCTAGCGGATGCAGATTTGTGGAGTGTCATGGCATCGACCTCCATACTTACACTGCAAAAAATGCTTACGGTACCACTTGATAATATCTGCACACTGTGAGCCATTTATTAAGCACTAGCATCTAGTGAATTCATCATCTGTTCAGCATTAACTCTACATTAATAAGCGTTAGTCAGCAGTTTATAACTGCACATACAAATGCTGGATTCTTAACTTATAACTACATTTATAATCTGCTTAATACTTTCATAATCTAAAGATTTATTTTCAGGACTAAATTAAACACTGCATTATTTATAAATGATTAATAAACTATTCAAATTACATTTATGATTCTTATTAATCAGGCATACACTAATAGTTAATGTGTATGTTAATAAATGCTTTATTAACTCAACTTCATCCAATCTAATCTAAAGTGAGGACTGTTTATACCTTATAAATCCCTTATCAATGACAGTTAAAGACTCGGTTAATTTCTAAACAGAAGAAAATATCTCAAACGACATTATTCATACCTGAAAAATAAATCTCTGCAACCCTGTCTAACATGAAATGACTGTAGAGTTTAAAGATTGCATCTTATTATAGTGTTAAATGATTATGTTATTGTTGTTTTATCAAATCTGTTGTGGTATTTTGACACTTCTGTTATTCAGCAGTGTTTAAACTTTACTCCAGTTTAACTTTTTCGATAAGATTCCAAAGATTATAGTTCATACGATACCGAGTCTTTAGTTGTCATTGATGAGGGATTTATGAAGCATAACTACTCCTCACTTTAGATTAGCTCTGCATGAAGTTGACTTGTTAAGCTTTTATTAGTCACCATTACTATATGCCTGAATAATAAGCTATAGAAACGTTGATTTCAATAGTTTATTAATCATTTACTAACTCATTCTGAACCATCTTAAAACCCTCAGCTACTTTTAAATACAGCTAGTTTGTAAATAATGCAACACTTAATTTAGTCCTGAAAATAAATCTTTAGATTATGAAAGTATTAAGCAGATTATAAATGTAGTTATAAGTTAAGATTCCAGCATTTGTATGTGCAGTTATAAACTGCTGACTAACGCTTATTAATGTAGAGTTAATGCTGAACAGATGATGAATTCACTATATGCTAATGCTTAATAAATGGCTCACGGTGTGCAGATATTATCAAGTGTTACTCTTATTTTCTTACGGAGTGTTTCTGATCTAAACATTGTTAAATCAAGAAGCTTTTAACAGACGAGTAAAAAGTGCAGTTTTGTTTTCAGAATTTAGTCCAAGTTAAGTGAGATCTTTCCTTAATAAACCCTAAATCATCCGCCTGTACTTCCAACTGAAATCAGGATTATTCTGCTTCCCCCTTTGGCAGATCATTCAGCTTGTTTTAAGGAAATAAAACTCTACTGTCACTCTTCCAGCTAAAGCTTCTTGATTTGGGGATATTTCAGATCAGAAACGGCGAGTGTTTTAAGTAAGACAGCATTTGTGTGTACAGACTTTGAGACGTCGCGAGTTGTTGGATTGACTGCGTTAGCGAGAGCTGCGAGTGTTGTGTGCATCAAGACTCCGTATAGTGTACAAACACCACATAGGGAGCGTTTTCTTTCAGTCCTTTTTAGTTTTGGTGCTCAGCCCTGGTATACACCACGTTTTGGTTGGGTTGCTGCGATGCAAGATGATGTTGTTGTTGGGGAGAAGTTTTCTTTTTGGCCTTGAATGTATTTTTCATTTCTCTTCTCGCTTATTTTCGTTCGTTCGTTCGTTCGTTGGAGGTGATTTACGCTGCTTGATACGATGGGAAGGACTTTGAGAGGGGGGCAGGACGTTTACCCCCTTTGTTTTTAAACTCCTTCCACTTGAAGTGCAAAAAGTGCCAATGAAATAAACCTTTGAGAACTCCTGCCGTTCGCGGAGGGAGATGTGTCGGATACCGAACCTCCATGCATGATGTCTCGGTTTGAGGGACCAGGAGGAAAGAGCAGCAGCAGAACAGCATCCCTGGAGTCTTGTATCTGACTGTACATATGAATCTTTCTCTGTGCATCTACAGTATAATCCTCTTGACAATGTTTGCATATATGGCGAATCTCTCTGTCTCTGCCTGTCTGTGTTAGTCTCTGTGGCGGGGGGGTTTCGGGGCGGGGGGGTCGGTTAAATCCTCAGGCTGACAGACGGAGGAGTGTGTGTTTTTGCGTGTGAGAGAATGCTGAGTTGTTTGGGTGGTTTATCTCATAATGAGGTGCGAGATGATGGAGGTCTTCTTGTCCAACATCCGTTCACACGCAGACATCCGTAAGGCGTTCGCGAAACTGTTTGTCGCAAGGCTTGAGTTGAATATAGTTTCCATTTTTCTATTGTCGGTCTCGAATGTGGCGCAAATGCAGATTCGTTTTGTTTTGGAGTGTGTGTTTTGAATGGAAACGGAGGCATGAGTTGATTTTCTTTATGTATATTCAGGTTTTCGTTTGATGCAGTGATTCTTTTTCCTCCTATGCCATGCAAATATTGCCGGGTTTTAGGAGTCGGATCAGTTTTTGTAGCCTTTACGTGTGGGGAGGTGCCATCCTGAGCTTAGTTTTATTTCGAAACCAAAATGAAATCTCATCACTGCACTTTTTTCCTCCACGCTTCACGAGCTGATGAAAAATACACGTGCCAAACGACTGTAGGAGAATGAACCAATGAAAAGCTCCAGCCGGATGTCTCACATCGGTACGCGCGAGCGCCGGCGGCTTTTTGAGAAAGGGTACAAAACAAATGTGACCAAATTCAGGTGACGTGAGCGATTGAACGTCATTACCGCAACGCCTCGAGAGCTACTGAGCGGCGACAGACCAGAAACTGCCCGTTTCTCCACAAGGGTGGCACCTCCAGGCCCAAATATCCATGTTTTATTCAGGGGTTTTTGTATTATGATTTTAATTTTGATTTTAACGGTAGCTTTTCGTTCAGTGTTTGCTTCATTCAATAGCTGGTGTGTGTGTCTGTTTTCCGTAACCGAACGCAGAAGAGGACGATAAATAGGAAGAAAAAAATAACTAACAAGTATATATATATATATATAAATATATATGTGTATATGAAATGAATACAAATGAGCTTAGGGTATTTAAAAAGATTTTATGACGTAGACACACACACACACACACACACACACACACAGGAGATGATTTGAGACTCTGGGTTCAGGGATGGGGTCGGATGTGAGTATTTGTGGTGAAGAATCCGCTCAGATCTTGCACATTAAAAGCGTTTAGATATTGTACCTACGAGTTCCAGATTATTATTTTTGTTGGTTTAATACGGCTCTCTTTCATATTTATTGTCTGTTCGGGGAGTAGGCTAGTCCCTGTGTGCGTGGGTTTATGGGACACGGAGTTTTCCGGGCGATCACGCTCAGCCCGAACTCTTTTTCATGTGCCACAAAACAAACGCAGATACTACTGTCTGGGGTTATTACCATTACGGCTATGATGATGATGATGATGATAATATTATTCAATGAATGATAATTGTTACTACAATTATTTTCTTTGGTTTTCGTTTTTCAGAACAGCTAGGAAACGTGTGTGTTGGACTGCTTATAAAACAGTTCAGAAATAAAAGCCCCTTTTTCGTGTTGCCGTGTCTGTGGTCTCCGTCTGTTCCACATTCATTCTGTTCTGGACATGCGACGGGTCGAAACCCACTTTACAATGCTGTTTTCATTACTTCAAGTTTGTGCTTTGTTTCTAGTCTAATTATCTAAAGAAATTAAACCAGGGGTCACCAAACTTGTTCCTGGAGGGCCGGTGTCCTGCAGATTTTCACTCCAACCCTAATCAAACCCCGAACAAGCAAATCAAGCTCTTACTAGGTATACTAGAAACATCCAGGCAGGTGTGCTGAGGCAAGTTGGAGCAAAACCCTGCAGGGACACCGGCCCTCCAGGGCCAAGATTGGTGACCCCTGAATTAAACCAAGAAGCATTTTCTAGATGTGTTCAATTGTTTTCAGCGAGTTTTTCCTCAAAACAAGCTCAATAATCTGCTAATGGGGGGGGTAAAGGGATATGAACTTATTTTTGGGTTGAAAGTACTGCACTCACTGGCCACTTTATTAGGTACACCTTACTAGCACCAGTTTGGACCCCCTCTTGCCTCTTTAATCCTTCGTGGTATAGATTGAACAAGCTACTGGAAATATTCCTCACAGATTTTGCTCCATATTGTCATGATAGCATCACACAGTTGCTGCAGATTTGTCGACTGCACATCCATGATGCCAATCTCCCGTTCCACCACATCCCAAAGCTGCTCTATTGGATTGATATCTGGGGACTGTGGAGGCCATTTGAGCAAAGTGAACTCATCGTCATGTTCAAGAAACCAGTCTGAGATGATTGAGCTTTATGACATGCTGCGTTATCCTGCTGGAAGTAGCCATCAGAAGATGGAGACACTGTGCTCATAAAGGGATGGACATGGTCAGCAGCAATACTCAGGTAGGCTGTGGCGTTGATGCTCAATTGGTACTAATGGACCCAAAGAAAATCTCCCCCACACCATTACACCACCACCACCAGCCTGAACCGCTGATACAAGGCAGGATGATCCATGCTTTCATGTTGTTGAGGCCTGTCCCATTGGCAGATTATTTGGCGTATTTTACAGAAACACTAATTTTTTGACTCATTATTTCTGAAAACACCACTGGAGTTTTACTCGTCTTCTGTAATGTGTTTGGCGGATGCGTTTACAGTATTTGTTTTCATTTATGCATGTGGTGGACACATCTACAGAAGACAGAGTGACTTGCATTGCAGCTTCATCAGGGCTTCAGGAATTTTATCTGTGATTCGCAAGCAAACATCTTCATAACTTTCAGCAGAAACGTAATCAGCTTCATCTGCTGATCTTTTTTTTTTTTAGATCCAATCCTCTTCTGTAAACAAACATATAAGTAAGTTTCTATTTTCTAATAACAACAAAAAAAGC